TCTAGTGGTTAGAGCAGGGCAGCTGGGAGCCAGGACTCCTGGTGTCTATCCTCAGCTCTGGGAGGGGAGTGGGGTCTGGCAGGTTAGAGAAAGAGGAATTGGTGGCCAGGACTCCTGAGTTCAAGTCCCAGTTCTGCCACCCACCTCTAGGATATCCTGGTTGTTCTTAGACATGAAGCTGTGTGGGTTAGTAACTGGTGACTTGGAAAAGCACCAGGCATTCCTGTTTTGAATACAGTGAGGTCAGGGATTATTGGGCTATCAAGGGGTGTGTGTCTCACAGAATGGCTCATGGGCCAGTGGAAGTGATGGTGATCCAAGCGATGATGAGTTAGCCCTGAGATGACTCTGTTCCTGATTTGTCCTGTAATAAGGTCACTTGACACCTCTTACGCTTGACTCTTCAATGGCTGTTTACCCTCAAATGGGGGCGGACAGAGAAGTTAGTCTGGTCATGTCTCTGAGTCAACCACTGTAATGGAAATCTGGTGACAAGAATGTGGCTTAGTAATTAGAGCGGGGGCTGGGAGTCAGGATGCCTGGGTTCTGTTCCCAGTTCTGGGAGGGGAATGGTGTCTAGTAGTTAGAGCAGGAGTGGCTGGAAGGCAGGGCTCCTGGGTTCTTTTCTGGCTCTGTCATTCACTTGCCTGGGGCACACCCTCTACCCCGTATGGGACCCTCTTTGGCCCATCTGACCTGACCTCCCAGCTGACCCTGCCCTTTCCCTGTTCTAGGTCCTGCCCATGGGATGCAAGTCACGGTGCTGAACCCTTTCAACGTGGTGATCCTCTTCCAGCCTGTTACCCTGCAGTGCAACTATCAGACCTCAGCCACCCAGCCGCCCATCGTCACCTGGAAGTATAAGTCGTACTGCCGGAGCCGCCTGGCTGATGCCTTCAGCCCTAGCAGTCAGGAGAACCAGATCAACAACCAGCTGCAGCAGAACAATCCCGGCTACAACCCCTATGTGGAGTGCCAGGACAGCACTCGCACCGTGCGGGTGGTGGCTACCAAGCAGGGCAACGCCGTGACGCTGGGGGACTTTTATCAGGGGCGTCGGATCACCATCACCAACAGTAAGTTCCCGGGAAGGATGGAGGATTTTTTACTGATCACTTATTAGCTAGATTATAGTAGCATGCCAGGGGGGCATTGTGCGAGGTGGAGGGCTTATGAGGTATAGTATGGTAATACACTGGGTGCCGGGAACTACAGCACTGGGGATTCTGCGCCACTGCGCATGTGCAGAATTTGTGTCCCCTGCAGATTTCTTTGCTTCCCTGCAGAAAAATGCCCTTCTGATGGGGAAGGAAAGGGAAGCCACAAGAGTGGTCATATGACCCTCCTCAGCAGTATGTTTTGGGTGCCCATGGCAGCTGGCAGAGAGGTAAATCACTGTGGCGCAGGGGATGGGACTGGGGAAGACCCGGCTAGTGGCTCCTACCCTGCACTGGACTCAGCTACTAGGCCCGGCTGGGCTGGGGATGACAGGACTTCCTCTTTCCCTGCACAGCATCTGGGGCTGTCAGACCCACCCCCAGATTTCTCTTCTGGCTGTAGGATGCTCTGCAAACTTCTCCCGCGCTTCTGGCACCCATCGCTCCTCAGCTGCAGGGGCAAGGATCTCTGTACAGGGAGCTGCTCCACCATCCGCCCAGACCCTCTCATCCCCAGACCCTTCTGCTGAGCCCCCCACTCCCCCTGCTTCTGGACCACCCCAACGAGCCACGCTCACCCGGATCCCCACCCTACCGAGTCCCAACCAGCTGCATCTGGATCCCTGCCCCTCTCCCCCAGCATCTGAACCTCCCCACTGAGCTCCCCACATCCAGACCCCCCCGCTGAGCTCACTCTGACGCCCAGACCCCCTGCTGAGCTCTATCCCCCCCCACACACCTAGACCTTCCCCGCTGAGCCCCAACCACTTTCTCCTGGACCCCCCTGCAGAGTCAGATTACCATGGCACCCAGACCCCCCAACAAGCCCCTGTGTATCCAGATCCCCCTGCACCCAGATTGCCCCACACAGAACCCTCTCAACCCACACCTGGATCCCCCCTCACTAAGCCACTCCACACATGGATCCTGCCTTGCTGAGCCTGCCTGCCCGCACCTGGCATGGAGGGGCAGGGCCCTGGGGTGTTTCTGGGGCAGGCCCGGTCCTTGTGCTGTGTCAGAGTTGGGTGCAGCCTCTCCATTGATTCTGTGTCCCAGAGGGGAGCAGCACAGTGATCTCGCACCTCTGTGCAGCCAGTGGCCTCTGCTCCCCAATGCCATGCTGGAGCCTCCACATTTATTTGACAAATAAAATTTTCAGAATCTTTAATTTTTTGGTGCAAAAAGCCCTCAGGAGTAACTGTGCCAGGTAGAGGGCTTGTTGTGCTGGTCATTTATTAGGTGTTTCATGATAGCCCCCAACTCACTTATTAGGTGTATTACGGTAGCACTCAGGGGACTTCTATGAGTGGTGTCTGATCACCATCACCCTCAGTATATATGGGACAAGAGGAAGGGGGGGGAAAAAAAATTAATGGAGATATCCCATCTCCTAGAACTGGAAGGGACCTTGAAAGGTCATCGAGTCCAGCCCCCTGCCTTCACTAGCAGGACCAAGTACTGATTTTGCCCCAGATCCCCAAGTGGCCCCCTCAAGGATTGAACTCTCAACCCTGGGTTTAGCAGGCCAATGCTCAAACCACTGAGCTATCCCTCTCCCCCAACTGCTGTGTGTTTGCTTTTTAGGTGCATTCTGGTGGGGCCTAGAGATCCCCCAATTGAAATGGGGATAACAGGAGGCGGGGGGGCAGAGTGTTTGTACTGCTTGCTTATTAGGTGTTTTATGGTAGCAGCCAGAGAAATGGGGGCAGTCCCCGCCCCAGCTGAGATTGGGGCTGTAGTGCCAGGTACTGCACAGACACACAGTGAGAGACAGTCCCTGCCCCACAGATACAGAGCGGCGATTATCATCCCCATTTTATAGTTGGGGAAA